GTTCAGGAAGTAGAATTGACATACCATCGAAAACAACTAATTGATTACTGGTGGAAATAGTTGATCATGGGATATTTTAGAGAAGCGTCGGTAAAGGAAAAGGAAAGATGCAACAGCATTTCTCCGAATCCACAAAATTACTTTGAGTGATTTGGCACAACTTTGCATGCAATATGAAAACGATGTATGTTGGAAAAGAAGTTAAGAGAAGTAAGAATACAAGAAGAAGAAAACAATTTGCGAAACCAAGAAGCCATAAAGATCCTTTTAGACATCGCAAGAACATTGGCACGACAACAGCTAGCTTTCAGAGGGCTTAATGAAAAGCACGAGGGAAACTTTATCAAATATCAAATCTTGTTGCCAGGCATAACCCTAGACTTCAGTCATGGCTGTCAGAGAGAACATGAAACCTTATTCAGTAAAATACCTATTTCTACAAAATGAGTTTATTAGCTTTTGACTGAAGACGTAACGGCGAATCGCATCGTAAAGATATCGTTTCATCTGAAATATACTCAGTCATGGCCGACACGTCTCCTGACACTTCAAATGCGGACCGCCTCGTAGTGGCAGTGCGCTACGTTGACGAAAACAACGCCCAACGAGAGAATACTGGAGATGAAAGAAACAAGGAATACAAACAGGTGAAGGCCAAGCAAAGAGATTCTTGATTCCCTTAAATCACGATTACCTATTTGTCACGATGGGTTAGTATCATTTTACGACTACACAGCTTCAATGTCTGGGACTTTTATGGAGTTCATTTGCAGGAAATGGTTGGACGCAACATTCCATACATCCATGTCAGGCCATAGGTATGTGTCAAATGCACAGTATTAAACATTGCCGTATAAATTACTTAGACATTAACTATATCTTTTTAAATATTTTTAAGACTAGTCTCTGCGTTGAATAAATTTTCAATTATATGTTTTTAGATGAAACACTTTCAATGAGCATTGCTCAAACGCCTCTACATTTGTTGAGATGTATAGCTTGCTCGAAGAGCTGTATGTTTTTTTCAGCAGAAGTTGTAAACGAGATTCTATGTTGCAAGAACATATGGAAAATTGAAAATGCTCTTAAATTGCGCAATCTCTCAAAGACGAGATGGGTGTATAGAAGTGAATCAATTGAAGCGGTATGGAGATCTTTTGAAGCCATACGAAATGCCTTAGCGGAAATAGCAAAAATTGACAACAACTCATTAACCAGAACCAAAGCAACCTCGCTCTGTAAGAAAATGGTCAAATTTGAGTTTGTTTTGCAGTTATGTTTATGAGGGTTTATCATGAGAAAGACCAAGATCCTGACAGTACAGATGCAGAAGCCAGAGCTCAATATCATGATGGTCTTCAACTGATTGATGAAACTGTTAGATCACTGGAAAGAATACGGCACAATGAATCGGAATTGAATGACCAAATAGATGCGAGTGTTGAGTTTGCGAAGACTCTAAGCTCTAATCCCTAGGAAGAGTTTGCTAGAAAGAGTAATAAAAGATCAAGTAGACAGTTGGATGACAACCATGAGACTTTGGCAATTATGTCACTAAAAACTAACTATCGAAAGTGCATGATTGAGGTCCTCGATTCCCTCATCAGAGAATATAGAGATAACATAAAAAGTTGTTTGCAAAAAATAAAACCCTTAGCTGTTATCCTTCAGCCTCGACTGACTAAACCAAATTTTGAACAAGTTGAAAAGGTCACCGAACTTTTTCCTCCATCAATTAGCGTAGATTGTATGTCACTGTATGCAGAACTTGAGATTTTTTGTTAACTTTGTAAATGAGACAGAGAAAGAATGTAAGACAGTCCACGACGCCGGAAACACTGCTTTCAAAAATAAAGAAATTTTCCCAAACGTTTATAAATGTTACAAACTTCTGTTTACTGCTCCAGTAAGTGTGGCTGATATTGAAAGATCATTCAGCAAAATGAAAATTGTCAAGAACTATTTGCGCTCAAAATGAAAGGTGAAAGGCTGGAAGAACTCATTGTCCTCTCAACCGAGAAGGATTTAACAGATACAATTCATCTGGATGTAGTACTAAAATCTTGGGCAGCCAGAAAACCGTAAACTCAGATTAAAATTCAAGTAAAGCAACATCTCAAGACTACGTTGAGATGATTCTCACTTAAGACTCTTGATATGAGAACAAATATACATTGTTTTACTGTTATGTCCGAAACGGTTAAGGTTTGTATTTCAAAAACAGGTTTTGTAATAATGTATGTGTCAGAAACCTAATCTTCGATAATGTTTACTAATAAACAACGTATGCAATAATAGAAATGCTTATAATTTGCTAGCCATAATGATTTAAGGGGTTTTTGTGGGCGACGCCCTTTTGCAGGGCAAACTTTCTCCACACCCCCTCCCATTACTTCAAGTCTAGTTACGCCCCTGAGCATACCAACTGGACCAAAAATATGTGCAATCAAACCATTTGGCAATGCCACACCCTGGAACTTCAAAGAGTGAACTTTTATGGCCATTGTAAACAATTCGCTGATGTTTTGTTGGCCGTGAATTGGTCTGACTGTTCCATGAATAAAGCCAAAGCAATTTTCATAAGGTGCTCCTTTTTCATGGATGGCATTGGCATAAACCTGTATATTTCTGGGCTTAAAAGATCATGGTTCCATTCTGTAATTTTTTGCTTATGATAATTATAAATAAAGTCAATGATGGTATTTGCAATCATACACAACTCAGAAACTGGTCGCCCAAATCTGCCAATCATGTCTGAAAATCGACAAGGGTAAGCAAGACGATTTAAAAGAATGCATAGCCCTTCCAGTCCTGAACATGTTGCCCTTTGTGACACTTGACTATTTCAGGGATTCTAAGATTTTGTTGGAGGAAAATCAAATCTTTTGTTGGCTCGGAATTCTACTCTTACATTCATCCCACTTAGATTGTCTAAACAAAATGGCTCATATTTTTTGAATGGAAGCTCTGGGTTCCTTGATTTATATGCCTTGTACAATATGATCAATTCATATTCTGTAATATAACCTTCCTCAAAAGCACAAGACAAAAGTTTCTATGGTTTTAAACGAGTTCACTTTCTACCACTTTCTATTACGAACTTTGCTTAACTTTTTAAATATACGTGGAATGTCATGCTCGTCCCAGTCTCCGCGATGTCTCACGACGCCGTCCGGATGAAACGTAGTTTATTAGCTCTCTATTACCATTACCAGCGGCGTAACCACAGAATAGTGGCGTAACTGTATGAACTCAGTCAGTGGTTCAGGATGCAGAGCTACGGACATTCAAGCAATCAGGTTACAAGGGTTTCCCTGAACGGTGTTAACAAAGGACATCGGATTCAGATCACTGGTAATCTAAAATTGACGTGTTCACTGACATACACAGTTACTTTTATAATAAGAGATAGAGAGTTTTACCAGCGAACGATTGAGAGCAATTTAAAATTCAAATTGATTTAAATCTTTTTCAAAATTCAAAACAATAAATTATGTAGGTAACAATATTGATTTTTGAATTGCTTGTATTTAGGAAAATAATAAAAAATTATATTTCATCTTCGCTGTTTTCTAAAGGTCTAAGTAAACTCCAATAGCTACGCAGCAACATTCAACTGTGCCAGTAATAACAGCAATACAGGCATGGCGCCTAAGGAGGGGTGGGGAGACCCCCACTTTCTCCCGCCACTATATTAACCTTTATGTTTACCTTCTGTCTACCTTTATGTATACTTTGTGTTAAACTTTATGTCTCTTTTATGTTTGAATTCGTTCTGTTTTTGGGCTGTTGATGGTAGATATATATGACCAATATTCCCTTTAACCCCTAGTATATTGAAATTTAATAGAAACGACAAGAGCCACATTTCAAAAAACGACATGAACGACATTTCAAAAGTTCTTGCCATACAACAATAATATAGAAAGTCTTGCAAGATCATGCATGATGGAAGTTTATGCATGATCTTAGCAAGAAGTTTGTAGGATCATAGTAAGATCTTGGAACGATTATGAAAAGTCTTGTAAGATCTGTTGTTAGCATTTATTTATTTTAGCTTAATTTGAGGCAAAGTAAGACCCAGTAACTTTAGTAAATATAAGACCTCCCCAGGCTCAATTTCCCCTCCCTGTATTATTTTAATCTTCCCGCTCGTAAGTTACAGACTTTTGTGCTTGGATTATAAATCATGACCCATCTCATTTCCAAATACAAAATGAATGAACCATTACCAGTAAGACAATGCGAAAGTTTCCTAGAATTCGTTTGTACGCAATTCACTGTAAAATGGAAATTTATTGCATGATACTACTTCACAAAGCTGCTTACACATTACTAAAACTTACTTACACTGTGTTATAAAATATAAATTTTTCATCCTTACCGTTGACTTATTGAACCATTCTTAAATTACAATTAACAGATGGAGGAAGTTTCTCTCTAATTCCATTGAAATAGGAAACTGTAAATTGCAAATGAGATACCATGCATCTGAAATTTCAAACCCTTCCCACAACAAACGTAAAATTCTATACACTAGGTATGTTGTATCCACTGATCTGATAATATCAGTGGTTGTATCAGCCAATAGCATTGTCAAAATGATTTAAATCTCTTTTACCATTTTTCTATGTAGTGGCCACACATTTTTGCCATTATAAGACATCAATTTTAAGTCATAAATTTGGTTATAGATAAAAAGAGATTGGTAGATGGAAACATAAACTGAAAGTAGTTTCGGCTTTTTTATGCAGAGGTGAAACATCATTAATGCTATTGCCTTACTATAGTATAAAGACGACAAAGTTGACCAAGAACATATGCATTTTGAAACTTCTTTGAATGTAAATGAGAAAAGCCAACTGGAATGTGGTACTCTTTTCATTGCTATTCAAAGTACGGTATTCACTATTCAAAGCATGGTATACAGAATTGAGAAGACCATGAGCAGTCTTTTGTCAAAGCCTAATCATTTTCAAAAGAAATCAGAAGGGCATTACTAAATATGATGTGGTCTAAATCTTTATTTTATACTTTCATGAAAGACAGCTCCAACACATCGATGAAATTATAATCATGATATATCACTTACAAAAAGCATTGAGGATTTAATGTTCGTTCATAATGATCAATCTATATGTATATATATATACATGCTGTCCCACTGATATTATAATATGGCTTAACTTGCGTTTTAAAACTTAATCTTTGGTATTGTTTATGAGCACATTGAAATAAATTGGCAAACATTATATTTTTGGTTTGGGACAGTATTTTGCTTTTGTTTCCAAAGTTGTAAATGATGTTATTGTTCTTATCATTTTTCGTTTTTCTGGCTCTTAGCTAATTTTCCAGTAAAGTGAAACTCAAGACATCATTATTACTATAACAACTAAGACACCTTGACATTTAAATATAGTTGCTATCAATTTACTGAGAATACTCAAATAAGAAAATCTTTGTTTAAAACTCGGAAATAATGTAATTAGAATCTTTAATATTATTACTTAGCTAATACATTCATCAACTGCTTGACAAAGAAGCATTCATCTGCCTCAATTTCAAAATTTTTGGTTTTAACTTGTCTTTATTCCAACAATTTTGTTGTGCTTCAAACGTGATATTCATTTATGATATTCATGATCAGCATTCATTTAATTTACGTCGATAAATGTACAAATAATGTTTTATACAATGTGAACCAGTTAAAGCGTAAAATACCTTTATATCGTCGAAGGCAGCCTCTGGTTAAATTTTAAGTTAAACGTTAACCTCCGACAAATTTAGGTATGAAAGTTTCACAAGGTAAATTCTGTAATAAATATCACATTCTATATTTAATTTAATTTTAAGGATGAATCTAAAGGGTAGGTCAAAAACAATACAAGCGACTCATCGTCAATAGCACAATTAGT